TGCGCAAGCACCGGTTGATGATGTTGCGCTGGTAGCCATTTTCTCGGAACACCCCACGAAGATATCGTACTTCGGCAATTTTGTCCTCTGGTTCGTCAAGGCGTCAGCAACGAAAATGGGGCAATTCTAGAGGCTGTGGGCCCAATTAACTGCGACAGACGTCTGGCCCTGACTGTACGTAATTGCGCAAACCCTGTACACCGGCGCCAATTCGACGCATCGGTTGATTAAAGCCACACTTGCGCGGGGCGATGCCAGACCTGGGAAAATGCATGTGAGGCAAAGACTTGGAGCCTGTCCATTTGGTGTCCGATTGGTGTGAAGCATTGTCCGAAAGGGATGCCGTGTACGGAGGTCCGTTCTGCGTCGGCCGCGGAGGGTGGAAGGGATGGCTTGTCCTTGGGCAGCGGCGAATAACGTGCGCGCGTGCTTGCGTGTGCGGGGAAGTAGGTCAAGGAACCTCTGGTCAGTAAGCCGCAAGCACATGCTTATCGAAGCACCGGCCATTGAACTGGGGGGCAAACAGAGTCAATTACCGGACTTCTGCTTAGCCAGTCGAACAACCACCTCCTGAGGCGGCAGGCATTAAAGAGGGATAGCATTTTGGAGATGGGAACAATCGTAGGCCATAAGTAGGCGTAATACTGGCCCCTGGCATGTGCCGTTTTAACCTTTGAGCATAATGTAAATTATTTTAATCCGACCTAGGCTTTTTTAGTACAAAAAAGCTCCGTCATAGCCGTTTAATAAACGCGATAACATGGAAACTGCAGAGTATTTCTTGAATAGAAACTTATACTTAGCAATGAAAACAGTAGCATTTTCAGTTATAAACAAAAAAATAGATTTCGTCAGTGATTGAAAACTTACTTGAATCCGTCAAAAAATGCGTAAGTGAGTAAAATATTCTTATTTTTTCCCCGATCGCTCGAGAAAATTGGAATGTGTTTTTATTTGACCAAGAGCCTTTCCTTCACAAGACTTCATTATGTACATCCTCTTTAATCGTCAGTTTAATTTGTTTTCAAGCCACTTACAAATATGATCCAAACGGCCATCCGCATAAGAAGTATGTTAGATAACTAATTCCTTAAGGGGAGATTTTAAATAACTGGCTTATTTTGAAGACTTTGATGAATTAAAACTATACAACCCATTTCTTTGGCAGTTGCTTGAAGTTAATAGAAACCAGATATAATGGGTGCCCCGAAAAGCACCAGGACTTTACGGTCGATAGCAGTGAATATGCGAGTTCCTGGAAGCAGTTTAGAAGACGAAGTGGACACTGGATAAAGAATTTCATTTTCCTGCAGTTTCAGATTCTGTCGAGAATTCTTAATCATAGGTAACCGTGCGCATGACTTGCACTATCCTACTGGACCCCACTGTATTCAGAAAGTATAAATTCAGTTTACGGAAAAAACTGTTAACACATACACAAAAATGATTGGTTTTTTATAACATTTATTTGTCATAGCTGGCTAACTGTTGTACTAAATAGCATACTTACCCTTAATGTGTCCTTAAGTTGAGAATAATCCAGTTGCCATTTAAACTGCTGTTCTGGTTAAGCTATTTTAGTTCCTCAGGTGTTTACTCTGATACGTATTTTGAACTTTCACTAGGTAAACCTACTGGTTTGACGAATTTTGCATTTTCGGCGTAGGTGTTTCTAAACAGAAGCTATCACCTTAAATATTCCCCACTGAAATAAACGCGGTTCATTAGCAATTGGATGTTTTGGTCGATACATTTCGACCGCTGTTCCGAGATATTTCGTAAATTTGCATGTTTCCTCAATTATGTCAGACATTTTAACTACGACGTGGGACAAGTTCTCATATCAAGCCCTTGAGACTTGTTGCGACTGCTTGCTAAATTATTTTCCTAATTAAAACTTAAACTATTTGATGCATTGGTCCACGTTGATGTCCATTTGATATATTTTCACGTTTAAGTTGAAAATCGATTATTTAAACTCGGGTTCGCGATTTTTGGATGGTCATCTGAGAAACTTTGGTTGCTCGACAAAAGTGGTTTGCCCTGTTGGTGAGGCCTCGAAGAGTTTGGTGAGTTTTCTCCTTTCACGGCGGAAATCAAACAACATTTTAACAGAATGCCTGAACTGGTCGGGCTTGGACTGAACGAGGTTTTGCTTCTTTCTTTCTCACTCTCGGATTTTTGCCAGATGTTTGTTTGACTTGATAGTCGTAAGCGTTACTCGTCACTTCGGTGAAAGATGCTCATAACGTTGCCTCGCCTTTGGGGTGGGTTTGTCGTAGTGGGTTAAGGTAATTGGTTAAACCCTTGGCAGTGCATTGTTAAGGCCTAGTTCCTGTGTGTACGGCCAATGTACTTGCATCCGCAAGACTTCCTTTGACCGCTTAACTGGGAAGCTTTTATTTGGAGTGAGGAAAACGAGTTCGGCCGCATAGTACGTCCTCTGTATGGAGCAGCATAGTCTTCGCCGTCGGTTCCGTGAAAGCCAGTTTCTAGATCTTTACCGTTTAAGGGAGACAACATCTCACATGCAATTAGGCGAAGACTACGCTGTTCCATATAGAGAATGTACTTGTTGAAATACGGGCATCCCAAGATATTTAATTGAGAAGAGGAAGGCTTCTTTGAACCCTGAATCTGCGAATTTTCGAGGCGGGTTCCCCAGCTCGTCGTCGGACTATGGGATGCGCACAAGAACAATTACCTTCATTAACCATGTCTAGCAAATTATACTGCAATTAGCTGCAGTCCGTGCCAATAGGTGTTGCCTACATTTCGTCATGCTGCCGTGGTTGGCCGCGCGCGAGTTGAACTTTGGCCTTCAGGTAATTATAACTCACGTTCAGCTCGATTTGCCTGTTGATGCATGCCTTATCTGAGTGCATTGCCTCCTGGTTGAGCAAGAGCCGACAATCTGTGCGTTCTCCCACGCGAATTTGTGACCAGTTTCTAAAGTGTGCATTGCCACCTGGGATAAGCATTATCGTCTGTTGACCCCCAAATGATGTTCGTGTATGCGGGTTGAGGCACATTTCCCAGTTTGGCCACAATAAACTGCGTCACAACTGGCACATGGGATCTTGTAGACAACACCTTTTCTTTCAATGTAGCTCACCCTGTCCTTAGGGTGTATGAACTGTGAGCGCAAGTTGGCTGCGGGCTGGTGTGCCCCGTGTATCTGATATTTTCTTAGTTGTCTCTCAACAAGTTCAGATACCTTTTTCACGTATGGGAGATTTCTCCAGGTTATTGTTTTGGGAGCCTGGGTTGTTTTAACATTTGAAATGCCTCCTTGTTTGGATTCTTGTCGTTTCATGCACTGACGCACGAAGTTTCTTATATATCCATTTTTGGAGAATAGTTGGAAGAGGTATTTCATCCCTGCTTGGTAACTTTCTTCATCAGAGCAGTGGGTTTTGGCTCGGTTTGGGAGGCTGTAGACAGTACTCCTTTTGTGAAAGACTTGGTGGTCGCTCTCGAAGCGTAGGATGACCTCTGAATATGTTTCTTTACGATAAACTGATGTACGGAGTGATCCATCAGTATTTCGCTATACGAGGACATCCAGAAATGGGAGTTCTCCATCGACCTCCGTTTCATATGTGAATTTAATTTCTGGGAATGTAGAATTGAGCTTCTGGTGGAGGATGTCTAGCTGGTTCTTCTTGATGATGACAAAAGTAATATCTACGTAGCGCAGCCATAATTATGGTTGACATATGGGGAGGGCTATGGATTCCAACTTCTGCATTACAGCTTCGGCCAGAAAAACGGAT